AAATTTATAGACATATACACAGAAAACAAACAAACAAACACACACACACACACACACAACACAGACACATACACATACACATATGCGCTGTACATCATCATTATCGTTCCGAAAATGCCCTTCACTGTATAACCGGTGCCTCCGTTATTTATTGTGCACCAATCATGAATTCCATACATTCCTGAACTAACTCATTATCTTGCTGCTTTATTATGTTTACAGTGATTATTTGAAATTTGTTTATTCAAAGCATTTGTTTGTCAGTAAAAGAAAGAAAAAAAATTATTTTTGAAATTAATCATGCTTTTTTTTTTTTTTTGCATTTCATTGAACTAAATAAGTTGAATCCAATCTATGCAATAAATATATCCATTAATTAATTGTTTCTGAAAAGAAATGAAATGAAAAAGAAAAGAAAGTTGTAACTGTCATCTATGGGAAATGAAGGAAATGATAAAATTTGGAAGTGATCAATGTGCTAGTTAAGCTTATTTCTATGAGCATGCTAATAATCATGCTGGTGTTGTTGAATGATTCATTGAGAATTGGGAAGGAAATTAAGATAAGATTGAAAATGTGGACGATGATCGACAAACGGCGAAAGGAAGAGGATGAAATTTGTTAGCTGGTCAAAGATTGCATCATTCATTCATCTGGCTAAGCTTAATAGAATAAAATAAATTATGGCTTTTTTCATTTAAATAATTAAATGATGGATTAATTAATATGGAAATTCCAACTGGCGTTACTTGATTGAACTTACTGATGACAGTTTTGAGCTAAATATGTGAAAAATTTTCAAACATTTCCATTCATATCATTCGATATCTCTATGGAAACGATTTATTAGTAACCAATTATGATAATTTTTCATTTGTTAATAATAATTAAATTTTCTACTACTAAATAATTAAGTCATCATTTTTTTCTTCCCCTAGAAAGAAGTTTTACCCTTTTATTTTTGGAACATTAAAACTTCACAAAACAATTCCTAATTTTTACATCATTTATTCCTTTTTATATGTACCAATTAATTACATCATCAGTTGGATCAACAATTCAATAATTTATATATTTTTTGTTACAATTAAAAGAAAAAAAAATAAAGGAAAAGAAAAATAATCCAAGAAAATGATGTTAACAATTACATGAAACGATTGGAAAAGTTAAAAATTAGATGTATGATTTACAGGAATACCGGAACGATCTGCTAATCTTACATTTATTATTATTCGTTATTATTAATGTGAAACTATCATTTTGATCCATTAAAACCTACTTTTTTAATGTTTTCTTCATGTTCGTTGCATTTTTTTTTTTTTTGAAAAAGTTGATTAAATGACCAAAAAATGAAGTTTCACATAAATGTTTGCGCATTCAGCGTTTTTCTTATCAAAAACTTGAATGGCAAAATGAAACTCATTTAGGCGAGAAATATATCACAAAGATGATCAACAATTTTGTTATCAAAAATATTTCTAATTATTTCAATTAAATTCAAAAATTTTGCATTTCATGAAGGTAAAGGTTTTAGTCTTTCACTTTTGTCTCATAAAGTTCCTTTATCATGGAACAGAAATGGTATAACATTCAATTTCCGTTATTTTTTTTTTTTTTTTACATTTAAATAAAAAGCCAAGAAAATTTCATTCTTCTAAAAATTCTTCTTAAAATTTGTGATAATTCACAAAAATTTTTTCGCCATTCCATAAAATTTTGGCATTTAAACTTGGTTCCCTCTAATTGTTTTACTGCTAATTTGATAAGGCATATTCATTTCTTTATTTAAATCATCTTGAAAATTAACTTAGTAAATGTTTAAACAATTATATAATTAATGATTGATTATATTTAGAAGATTTGATATTGATATTTTAGCTGGATAAAGAAATGCCAATAAAAAGCGATGATAACTTGAAATACCTTGTATGATAGATAGTATAGATAGATAGATAGATAATATGTATGATAGATATAATGATAGATATAGTATAAGAAATTAGGTTAATGAAGGAGCAGTCTAATGAGGTAAACAAAAAACTAAAATGACAAATTTAATTAGGATAATTGTGAAATCATTAAAAATTCATCCAAAAATATTATATGTACCATTATTAATTATATTCACAATGGAGAATTTTTATTTTTTTTCTTGAATTACTAGAAATTGTTTGACAATTATTGCATTTTTCATTTGACTTGTAAAAAAAACAAAATGATTTAAGCTATTACATTTTTCCTGTTCTATATGATTATTTTTGAAAGG